TACTGATTTAACCCACCAAGTACTGACTAAGCCAGGATCTGCTGGTCTCTGAGGCTTTTCCCTAAGAGAATTCCTGGAAACCTACACGTTCTTGTTCCATGGCCCCTCCCCGGAACTCAGGCACACATGGAAGCAGAAGCACTTTACTTATGTTTCAAAATATGATTTGCTAGCTTGCCCCCACCCTTCCTCTGTGTCACATCTCAGTGATGTCAACGGCCCGGAGCGCTCACCCAACTCACCCAGGCCACAGCCCCCGAGCCACAGCAGGCCACAAGGCCTATCCAGGGACTCAGCTGCTACGGAAACACAGGAAGTAACGAAGAAAGCACCATGGGACCTGTTTTTCATTCTGATCAGAGCAAATCTCTGCTCAGCCACATCCTAAAATGAGTCCTACAGATCCGCCCCTGCCCCAGGCACTTCCTGGACCTGGTTTCCTTTTCTAATCAGAATTCTGGACGCAGCATTCAGCAATAAATAATACTCATCTGCTAGCACTAAGAGAACCTGCAGTAGTTTCTGATGGGCCTATTTATTCCTTTGTAAGACTGGCTTAAAAATCCAGAGCCTCTCAAGAAAACATTTATTCCATTCTTCTTTTCAGAAAGGTCTCCTACAAAAACCATCTAAAAAGTGTACAAAGTTTTACGCACAAGCCTCACTACCACATTAAAGAAAAATATTAAAACTATGTGTATGTTGACAAACAGCTGAGTAATAAAGTTATGTCAGGCACATTCATCCAGTGGAAGATAATACAGCTTTTTAAAGGCATAGGACTCTGACAGAATTTTAAGTGAAAAATGCTGTATACCAGGCCATGTACATGAATTTATACCGATCTGTTCACCTATAAGGATATCAGTCATATTCTTAAATATGTACCAAAAACAAAAAACTAGCAAAAAAAACTGTTTTGGGGCTGGGGATTTAGCTCAGCGGCACAGTGCCTGCCTGGCAAGCACAAGGTCGTGAGTTCAATTCCTGGTACCAGAGAAAAACCAAAAAAAAAAAAAAAAAAAGAAAAGTTTATTTTCCATAATAGGAATATGCTCAGCTTTTTCTATCTCTTTCAGCTTTGCAAATCATTTTCAGTGAGGCTGTATCACTTTGTTTCTCCTGCAGTGCTAGGGAGCAAAGCTAGGGCCTCACACATCTACAACGGAGCTACAGCCCCAGTCCCTGCACTACTTTCCACAGAAAAAGAGGAAGAGACTACCTTCACATCCCCACACACAAAAAAACGTAAAAATTAACTCAGCCCTCTCCCCAGCATCTCGGGGAGGCAAACCATTCTCCTCTCTCTGGGTTTTGTCACAGGCTCTGGAGAGGCAGAGAGCATGGAGGCTAAAGCAGCAGCTACACAACACACCCGGACCAGACGTTAAAATCACTGCCAAAGAATTCAGCAACAGCCAATTATATAGCCCCTGGCTTCCATTTATGTAGCAAAGGGTCGGGCCGAGGCCAAACTGAAACGTGGAACCTGAAACGCTCTGCTGAATATGTGACTCACCCTGTCTTCTAAGGACAAATCCCTTTATGCCACGTTCACCCCAAAGCAGGTCCCAGCAAACCAGGCCGGGATCCCCAGGCCAGCACAGCCCTCATCCTGGAAATCTCTGACTTGGAGTACAGGATCTCAACATCTCTCCTCAAACTAGCGACAACCTCACTTTACTTTGAGTAGACGCGGAAAAACAGAGGCCCCCACAGACCACAGCTGAGGTCTTTACAGTTAACTGCCAGAGCTCCCAGGAACCCTGACCACGTTCAGCGACAGGAAAGGCTTCACGGAGCGCTAAGCCTAACCCCATGCTCTGTAACCACCCTAGGAGTCAGGGTCCGACCGGCGGCCTTTACAGTGACCTCCCTGCCCAGGGACCACACCAGACTGTGCAGAGCCAGAGGTACAATGGCCAGGCTCTCTCAAAGGATCTAAGCAAAAAGGGTAGCCCAACTGTCCTAAGACAACTGGACTCCACTCCACTGGATAAGAAAAACTGGAATTTCCAGGTGGATGTAGATTCAAGCAGATTTCTAATCCCTGTCACACATAGGAGCCATTAGGTCAGCTGCTAGTGCAGACATCAGCAGGCTCAACCCCTGAGTAACTGCGCCCTTAGCACACACTCCTGATTCACAGCTGAGCCCAAGGGGCCCTGATCCCAAAATCCCCGGTGTGGAACACGTGAAAGGGCTCAGACTGAAAGGGCCTTGGCATGAACTGCCCCGTGGTTCTCAACTCACAAATTCGCCTAGTCCCACTCTGGAGAGCCCTACCCTGCTGCCACCCGAAGACGACAGTACCAGGCATGACCACTGATGTCTCGTTAAAATCACTGTGAAGCACCAAGTTAAGCTGACCCAGCAGAGCTACCACACAGCTTCAGGAATTAGAGGAAAACTTTTGTACAAGCAATGAAACCAGGGCTGAAGAAAGCTGACATTACCTTCTGAAGAAGGCTGACAGAAACCTGGGTTTCTCAAGGAAGGGAGTGCTAGGGAGAGGGAAAGGAAAAGGGTACACACATACCCACCCGCACGCAGGCACACACGCGCACACGCGCACAGTTTCCCCAAATGACGTCAGCACTAATTACGTCTCCCTTGCCTAAACTGTGAGTTTCTCCAGGAGGAACATTCCACCTCCTTTATAGAGGCACACGGTCGTAACTGAACCTGAGAAGCTGCCAGATGCCTTGGCACAAAGACATGTACACAAGAACTTTCAGATGGACTCGCTGACACACCTTAAAGGATCATCTTCTGCCCCAACTCCAGGCTACATCAGGCCCCTCCTGAGTGTCTGCACTAGATGTCCACTGGGCAATGACCGCGGGGAAGAACACAGGCTGGTCTTCTGGGGTGCTACGGTTCGAAGCAGCTGCAGTTGAGTCCAATCACACACTGGGTTCATGATCCCTGTGGCCCATGATCCCTGTGGCCCACGGAGCTTCTTTCTACCTGGTTCATCTGAGGCCTTACTGCAAGACGAGGGGGCTCCCATGTTTGGTTAAAGTCTGGGACAAATTAACGCAGGGATCATTTCTACTGCCGTGAGGTCATATGGGAAAAAGTGACCAGGTTTCACCACAAAGTGAGGCAGATCATCGGGGTGGGGGGGGGTGTACCTCTGAGTCTCAGTCTGTTAAACAGAATAGCTCTGTGTGTATCAACAAATTATTTTTCAAAAAAAAGCAACAGGAGGGGCTGGGGATTTAGCTCAGCGGCAAAGCGCCTGCCTGGCAAGCGCAAGGTCGTGAGTTCGGTTCCTGGTACCGGAAAAAAAAACCAAAAAAAAAAAAAAGCAACAGGAAAAAACTGGTAAAAACGACTGGTTATCTAAACCCAAATCTTCAAGACTTAGACACAGGTGAGTATCTGCCTCCTCAACACCCAGGGTGAGACTCCACCCCAAGCTGGACGGTAGTAAGACTCCAAGACTCGCCCCAAAATGAGCAGGCGAGAAAGAGCCCTTTCCCCAGCTTCAAAGTACACTGTCCTGCGCAGCCTGTTTGTGTCCAGGTGTGTAGAAATGGGGGGAGGGGGACCGTGTACTGGCAGAAAACTTTCTGAGAGCTAAGAACTCAGCAGAGACCTAGCAAGGGCTTTGCCTTCCATCCGCAGAAACCAGGGTAGAGGTTTAGCAGTCAGGCACCATGAAAGCCAGGGAAACCGGCTCACAAACAAGTGAACTCCTGGAGCCCTGGCAACCTACCCTTGCTGTCTGCTGGCGCAGGTACCCACCTGTAGATACGTCTCTCACGTTTTGAACAAATGAGGGTTGTTTCCTGAAAGCACAGCCAGGCAAGAAGGGGCCTCTGGGGCTTAAGCAGTTCGAAACTAATTCCCCGCCCACTTGAGCGAACTGCATTAACCTACCATGCCCCAGCTAAGCCCCGGCCTCCTCCAACCAGCCCAGTCGGATGTGCAGCCCCTCCCCCACCCCACCTCCCCTCAGACTGCCTGTGCCACAGCAGGTCAAGTCGCGCTGAGCTGCCGCCAAACATGAGCAGAGATAAACATTCCGGGAAAACAATCACAAGGCTGCTGCTCCTCCCACCTCAGGCAAACACCCAGGTGGCCAGCAAAGCAGGCCTCACTGCCAGGGTCTGTAGAGTAGATCCTGCATGGCCCCCTGAGAACCTGCGGCCGGCCGGGGTAGTGTTGTAAGGAGGCCTACACCACCTGGGCAAACCCCTGGGGAGAAAGGCCTTCTTCCTCCTCGAAGCACTTACGCCCGCTGACCTCACGCTAACCACTACCACCTGGCCCGCCTGCCCCAAGTCACACAGGTGGTATGCACAGAGGTGGGATTC